GTAATCCAACTATCATATATATATATATATATATATATATATATATATATACACCAAGTCACCCGTCTCAATTTGACCAATCCTTACTGTTAGTCTTGAAAGAGTATGACAAAAACCCTACTAAGTTATTGTAAAAGGAGGGGTTGAATACAATAACACAAAATTTTCACTTAATATCTTATTGACATAAATATCAAGAACTACACGCAGAAAATAAGATTGATGCGCAATAAGAAAGATTAAAATCCAACCTAACAAATTTTCACTAAGAATACAAGAACTCAACGGGCACTAGAAATTTTATGCCTTTTGAGAAAGCTGCTGATTTTTTTCTTTTTACTTAGAGTACTATTGAAAGGGTAACTTTGCATGAGAGAACTATTTTGTCTTAAATACCACAATGTGCATTAAATGCATGAGAACACTTGTCACTTGGGGATGAGAGTTCAACACTGACTTCATAATCTTTTGAAGCATCATTTCCATCGTACAAGAGAAAATGACTTGTCAAGATCATATTAGGACAAACATGTATTTTCAGGTACTTTAGAGACTATCTTTGTCAAGGACAAGGTTGGTGAGATTTGGTCAGAAAAAGTTGTTGCAGGCGTATTTTTCCATTAACTAGCCGATAGTCAGAAGGACTATCCGATTAATGTATACCGGCTAGAGAAGATTTGGTGCGCAAGTTTGACTAGTGCATCTTGATCTGTATCAGTTGATCCACTTCATGAGTATCGCTAGTCTTCAAGTTACCTAACTGTTTAAGTACAAACCAAGCTAACTAAAAGAATCAAAAGATAAGTTATAAATGCTAAGGATATAAAGAAAGAGACAGGAGAATAATCAACAAATTTTCAGTGACCCAACAATTTCCCCCTTTTGCTTTGACTGTGACATTCGCTGAGCTTGTAAGAAAAGTATATTTTTTCTTTTCATATTTTTTTATTATTCATCTTTGAGGATTGGAAAACCCGAGGATCAACATCAATACGAAGTATTTGCTAAAAAGTGTTTTTCATCATAAAATCCGTTGAACATCTGTCATATTGTTAAATCAGAAGCTAGTCAATTTTCCTGAAGATGGCAAGGGTGCTATACATACTGATTTGAATCAAATGCATGGGGGTATAAAAGGCAAAGTACATCTCTCATGCATACAGATATTTGGAATAGAATGTTCTCAGTGTACTCTTCATGAAAATCAGCTACCTCTGTTTTCTCTGAAGAAGAGTTTGTGTTTTTAGTTCTTGGCCATGTTTCCTAAGCGTGTCCTTGTAATTCTCTATGTGATGTTATTTATGTTAGGTTTTTATCCTTTCCAAATTCCACAAAATCTTTGTATTTATTCGTTTTAATCCTTTATATATATATCAACAAGAATTAAAAAGTTATAAAAGTCTGAATAATTAAATTCAACCCCATTTTACAATTATTTGTTGTAAAAATTGTCATCAATTTAGGACCAATAGAAACCCAACCCAATCCATAATTTTCAAACGATCTCTGTAATTTACTCAGATAATTATGATCCTCAAGGTTTTTTAATTATGTTTATTAAGACATATTTTGATTATTTAATCACAGATTAAATAATTAGTTTTGTGTCTACGTCAAAAACATTGATTTTGATTCTGGACGAAATAACAAACCATTTTAATGAATGATGTTACGGGAGACGTATGTTAATTGTTTGTAAGTATCGTCTTTTAAGTAAATGAATTGTAATTTATCAGATATAAAAGTAAAACCGATCATATCTAATACAATATGTTACATGTCATGTGAAAAACGTTCTAAAATTTGCATTTCAGGTATCACTTCTAAGTAGACATCATGTCGTAGTTATTGATTTGTTTAAGTTTCAAACGCTTTATATGGTTTCAATATGTTTGAATTATAGTTATAAACGTACCCGTCAAAATCTCAAATAAAAAAGTGACTTCAGATTGTTTTATTTTGAATTATGATCATAGATTTTAAAAACAACTGATAGACATTGATTCAGTATTCTGTCATTAAAAAAAATATGCTTTAATGTTAGTTTCCTTCCCAAAATTTATCTCCTTGCTTAAAACCTCTCCATATAACTGTACATCTCTTTTTTCTGTTTGTTACGACAATAAGTTCACTCACATATTTGTTACATATTAGATATAGATATGAAATTTTAATGTTAGATAAGTTTTACATGAAAACAGTATTTCATATAATTAATATGATTTTGTTCGGAGCGAAGATAAAAGTTAGTATGCAACACTTTGATTAATTCAACGTTAAGAATCCATTCATGCAACGATATGTAACCATTTCTAAAAATATTGCCGAAGTCAACATTATCCTAAACACTTACCTGTAACGTTAGGTTTTTTAGGTCTTTTTTTCATAAAAGTGTTTGATTTATTATGTTTCTATGGTTACTGTTATTCAGATGTAGAAGAAGGAAAAGGTCGTCGGTGCTATGAGTATGTGTATATGTATTCATATTATATGTAATATAATATAAATAATTTAATTTAGTTTTAATTTTAGTTTTAGTTTGTTAACAAAAAAATAGTAAGAAAAGATGAAAAGACCAAAATGTCCTTTACTTAAGGGACAAATTTAACGAAGTTAGTAATTAGGGATGATTTTCAAAGCAAAATGTAAACAGTAGGGATAATAATTATAGTTATTGAAGTCTAGAAACCACTTTCCATATTTGGTGTAAGCTATAAAAGCCAAAATTGTAGTTTACTCAAAAATAAATAAACATAAAGGGTATTTTTGTTGAAAAGAAAATAACAAAAGTGAAATTTTCAGTAATATTAATAATAAGCGATTGACGATGAGTGAATCGAGAGTATCTCCAATATGTTTATTTTAAAGTGATGACCAAATCGGCCCAGGATCGTCGGAGAATCGGAACCGGGACTGGTAAAGGATCGGCTTGGCCTGGGATCGGTTATAGGACTGAAAACCGTGATCGATTGGGGTTTTTTGGCAGTTTCGTGGGACCGGGATCGGTTATGGCCCGACCCAATTCAGCCTAATTCTCAGAAAGAGATTGACGATGTAATAAATATATCGGAAGAAATAAAGTATGTGTATACTCTATAAGTCTTTCTAGTACGCCTCACTCAGTAAAAAACCGGGTGGCTCTGATATCAATTTCAGAGCGGTAATATAATAAATACAATTTTTCTTTAGATTTTAGATTTTAACTTTTAATTTTATATCTATACTACCTTATWRWMCAKWTWTRYMMAAAGTCTTAAGAACAATTTTTAATACACAAAGTACTGTACATTTATGCACAAAGTCTTAAAAGTCTTAAAAACAACTCATCTATACTATCTTATAAAGCAAATTTAACAAAAGTCTTAAAGTCTTAAAATACTAAATGACCAAGATACTCTTTATACACTTTTTCACTTTTTCACCCCCTCCTCTCCTCACATCACATCACATGCACTCACCCCCTCACATACACCCACCCTATCATAACCGATTTTTTTAAATTATAATTTTAAATTTACACTTTATACCCCTATAATTAGTTAACTAATTTACTTTACGTCCTTTACTTTTAAATGTTTCATTTTAAACCTTTATCGAATTAATATACATAATCGTATATCAAATAAAACATGTTTAAAAAATACATTTTTGTTTTAATAAGTTACACCATTATAATCATCTCTTTAATACATTCGAAATGAGTCCAATATTGAATAGTTTTTGACTTAATTATATTATTATATATTATATAT